ACTCGGTGTTGCAAATGAGTTTGTTGTGACGAAAATACATTTCATGGGTATATGAATAAAGTGACAAAAGATTACCGGATAAGTACACCGGACGAACGGCAAGAACCGTGATGCCGGTCATGTGCCCCCGGGGAAATTTGATTGAGCTTTTCATATACTACTTATTAATATATATATATATATATATATGTATATACACGTATATATCGGTGACAGGTTCATGAAATTAGGCATCCTCCATTCCATAGATTAAGATTTAAATCAGGATACCCTGGGATCGATGGATGTTGTATTGACTTTACTCATTGGTTTTAAATTCCAGTAGTTTTGTTTCGATCGTCCAACCGTTTTTTCCCTCGTATCTTTCCCCCACTTGCTTTAGATGATCAGTCAAGCAAAAATACGGGGATTACATTCAACGGGTAATCAGCTGGCTCGAATGGCCGCACGACGCTTCATGCCACTCGCTTTGACGCCGCCCACTGCGACCGATGAGCATTCTACNCATTGGGGTGGGCATTGTTAGCCAGAGATAATCAAATTGTACATCGATTGGCCGAGCAGACTCTGTTACGAGATTCCGGTTTCACTCAGAATGGTCAAGTGAATGCACAAATGTTTACTGTCCCCACGGAAATTGCAGAAATGGCCGCAATTATATTGGGATTTTGCAAAGACCGAGCTATTCAAACCGAGGATTGTGCCGAATCTGATCAACGATCAGTAGTGATCCATTCCGACCCCAGTCCAATGATTGCACTGTCTCCGGAACTGGCATTCCTGGTCCGTTACGCCGAATTGCAACAGTGTTTTATCGATGGTAATGTAGAAGGTGCAGTGGATCGATTGATCGATCTTTTAGTAACTGGTTCCGGTGGTCCCGGTTCTATTCCGGTGATTGGGTCCAGTTCGTCGGACAACGGTGGCAGTTGTGCTAAAGTTTCTACCCGACTGCGTTTACGCCTCCTATCCGAAGTGAACCATCTTCTTGGAAAGCAATGCGTTCGTCGAGATCAGGTCGAACTGTTACTTTCAGCGCTCACAGAATTACGTTTGGAACTATCTGCAGACGAGACTCACACAGCAGTTGAAAAGGACACGGATTTGTCCAATCTGCTCGCCCAATTCCACGTGGCTCTCGTCCGCGAGTTGGCTTCCACATTTCTGCGTCCCTCGATCAACACTGAACTGCCTCCGCTGATGGATGTAGACGCTATTTTCTGATGTATATTTCATCCCCACGCATTACCGTCCAATCCTTGTCGTACCAATTTCAACAAGATTATTTTGCACCTCTAGATCGGTTTGTTTTTCTGTCGCTCGCTCTCTGTGGATTGGTTAAGTGCAGGCAATTTTTCTACAGATTACGTAATTGTCCGCGGTTCAGGGCAGGGGCTGATATTAACCAATACTAAATGCACTGCGAAACTGCTAGCTGTCTCACATTTCCCGGCCTTAATTAGTTTCACGCACATGGCCGTTGATTTGTGCTTAATAGTTTGTTCTTCAAGTTAGGGAAGTCTGTTTGCCCCATCCGCTTCTGATCTACATCCTTAGGGGTAGATTGTTTG